TTGGTGTCCCCGAGAAGCTTTCATCTTCTTAAAAAAAAAAACAGTTGGGCCCCTGAGAAGATTTCACCGTCTGTAAAAAAACAGTTGGGGGCCCCGAGAAGGTTTCACCTTCTTAATAAAAAAGAGTTGGGGCCCCGAGAAGGTTTCACCTTCTTATAAAAAAAAACAGTTGGTGTCCCCGAGAAGGTTTCACAAGACAGTTGGAGCCTCCGAGAAGGTTTCATATTTTTAAAAAACCAGTTGGGGGCCTCGGGAAGGTTTCATCTTTTTTAGAATAAAAGACAGCTGGGGTCCCTGAGAAGGTTTCACCTTCATTAAAAAAGCAGTTGAGGCCTCCGGGAAGGTTTCACTTTCTTAAAAAAAAAGACAGTTGGGATCCCGCAGATTTCACATTCTTAAAAAAAATGCGGAAATTATTTCAACAGAAATTCCTTCGTCTTTGAAGTTTTTTTTTTCATAATATAAAATGGACCTAAAGTTAGGTCAACTTAAGCGAGGTCAAATTAGGTCAGGTCAGGCCAGGTCAATGACAGACAGACAGACGGAAACGGAAGAGCTATTTTTCGTACCGCAGGGGTCATGAAACGTCGAAAAAAAATAAAGGTAGCCATCCAATGGACTCGATTACAATACTTCCTTACCTTACGCACAGGAAGCAAAAATGCGAACCAGAAAGAAAGTACATACTCCGAGAAGGACGAGGTCAGCTCTAGGTTATTCTAACTTCTCTGTTATAAAAAAAAATTGTAAAAATGCGGATAAGTTTTATTAAAAAATTCATTCCACAGCTAACTTTAGCGTTTCGTTGACACAGTCTTTGTTACCTATATTCGACGACAGTGAAACTTGAATGTATTAAAATAAAGTTTTAGAGAAACAAGTTTACAAGTGACTAACGACCTGCACAATTGTTGGCAAGTTTACTACAACATTTAGCTAAATACGAACCTGCCCTAGACCTAGTTTTCATGAAAAATTGCAACCTCCACGACAATAAAAGTCGGGAAAATTTTCTACACACGCACGGTTTTTTTTTTAAGTAGGCGGACAACTAATTACTATTCTTCGGATTACCGAAACAACTTTCTTTCACGTTGGTTCACGTGCCATGAGCTCCCCTTTCAGCAGCCGGCTTTTCCACGCTCCCCTTATTTGTTTTTCAAGCACACCACCCAAAGCATGTCTCAAGCTAAATAAAGCTCCCTTTGTAGGAACTTCCTCCGGATTTCACTTCGACGCCTATGCTAATCCTCGAGTTCATTGGCAGCGAGTGTGTATCAGTTGGGAGAGGATGAAAGCAGTAATGACATACTAAACTGACACACATTGTATTACGCGGTGTACCTTACTATTTACTAACAACTCTTGCTCTCACGCCACCGTAACAATACGTGAAGAACTTATATCACAGCTGATACGGAATGCAGCGATAGCTGGAGAAATTTGCAGATGGGGAATCTGCATGAGATCGGCGAGAAAAAGCGGAAACGGTTTATTCTTCCGAGATTTTATCTAAGTAGATTGGGTACTTTCGACGAAATTGTTGACCCACTAACTTGTTTGTGTTTGAAGGCGAAGATTTTGTGGATGACCTCGGGCGCAGTTTTGGTTTGGTTTTTAAATGTGCGTCGGATCGAAATTTCATTAAAAAAGAGATAAAAATAGTGGAAGTCGTGAGAGATTTTAGGTGCATGTTTTAGTTTGGAAGACGATAGGCTACGTTGTGGTTTAAGAAAAAAATGGGGCCAAATTTTACGATATGTTTAATTTACATAAGAATTGTGACTGACTGAAAGAAGTAACCACAAATTATTCGTGTGTACCTACTTTCTAGTCTAACAGGTAAAATTTGAGCACTTCATGCTAAATTATAACAAATTAGACAATAATTATTCTAATATGACATAAAAATGGTAGACGCCACAGAAATGAAAACTCGTAATGATGTTTGACAAAAATGAAGAAATGATAATAATATTTCACAAATACAACTTTAAGATCGTAATAACCTCCAAGAAATAGTTTCAGAAATCTAATAGAACTTTTTCAGTTCTAAAATGAAAACTCTAACTCATTGTATATCGACAAAATCATTCAAACTTTCTCCCAGCGTTTATGTCCATAGCAAACAACAATACAATAAAGCTACCTGTCGGTGAAATCACACTTCAATCAATTTCAAAAATTAAACAATTAAAATAGAATATACAAATGTTGTCATGATCAATACTAGAAAATGGATAATTGTCTTTCGTTTCCTCAACAAAATACCTTTTTGCTTCCTTTTCAATTCAACATACGATTGTTTTCCTTCTTGACAAAGAAGTTAAAGGTGGGTTTATATAACCAGACCTATCTTCAAAATAATAATAAACAAACAATTTTACTTTATATAACATGCTTTCAGCAGCACAATTAGGTATTGTCGGAAATATTTGTTTGCTTTTTTTAATGTAAAGGCCACGATACGTAAAGTGGGTGTTCGTGATTATTTTTGACATTTAAACGTCAAATTTTCACATCTCTCCACACAAAAACACACAGCAAGATAATTTATTTAGTTGGACCAGTTTCGACCTTTTGTGATTTCATCAGTAATTGTAATAGCAAAATGTCGGGTGAGCAATATAATATTTGATCACAGGAAGTTCTGGAAACAATATTTTGAGTCTATACTTAATCGGTACAATTGACAGCCTGAAAGATATAGATGAAGAGTTTCCTGAAACGGCCAACTGCGATCACAAATTATGTGGCTTACCAGATACGTATCGTAAGATTGGAGACCATAATACCAGGAGAGCAACAAAAAAAAACACGCCCATGAATTTTTGTCTTTGATTGTTGCGCTTTGAACTCAAACTTTCAAATTGACGATAATAGTCAGACAAGTTTTCAAAAATTCATGGCTGTTTTTGATTGTGTTTTCATTGATCTCTTGGTATGAACTTTCTAGGATTCACGGGACTCCGAGATTCTTTCAAATTACTTCAAAAAGAAGACATGCAATCCCCAAGATTCTTTCAAACTACTTCAAAAACAAAACAAAGAGGGTCCTTGAGATCTTTTGAAACTACTAAAAGTTCCTCGAGATTTTTTCAAACTACTTAAAAACAAAACAAAATGTGTCCTCGAGATTGTTTCAAACTACTTCAAAAAACAAAACAAAAGTGATCTCCGAGATTCTTTCAAATTACTAAAAAACAAAACAAAATAGTTCCTCGAGATTCTTTCAAACTACTTCAAGAGCAAAACAAAAAAAGTCTCCGAGTTTCTTTCAAACTACTTAAAAAATCAGACACAAGGGGATTTTTTTTCGCAACTTGAAAAACAAAACAAAAATGTTCAGTGGGATCTCTGAAATCACATAAATTGTGTCGTAATAATATGAAAATTAAATAAACATTGGGTAAAATACCAATAAATGTTATGTTGTTTATATTTCTGTATGTTCCTTAATTTTTTAGGAACAAAAAATACAACATTTTATTATCTGTCTACATGAGTTCGACACATAAGCATAAAAACCAGTGTGGCGAAATAAATTCAGCAAAAAAGTTACGTAATCTAAAAGATTATATCTAAAATTGAATTATTTTTATTTTAATTTACCTCAGTTTTAAAACCCAGGAAATCTTTTAGTATTATTTTTTCAAATAACTTTCAATAGAAGCTTTTAAATTTTCGTGTTCATTGTTGCAACAACTTGGTTCAAATTACTATAATTTCAAGTTTAGCACAAAAAATATCCTTTTTTTTTTGAAGGCTACAAACATAGTATTTCCTTATTATCACAAATTTATGCTAAATTATTAATTATTACAAACTGTTAAACAGCGCTCAAATCCCTGGTCAAAATGAATAACTTATTCGCAGGAGAATTTTTAACCAACAAGCAAATATTGACGAAAAAAAACCATTGTGTCCATAAAATGTTCACCAAAATCGATAAACAGTTCGAATTTTTTTCATCGAAATTGCCAAAGTCGTGACGTCCTCAGTTTATTTTTTAAATGTCAGGCCTATTTTTGGACCGAAAAGTAAAATTTTAAATCGTGAAATCATTGTCAGAAAAAAAAATCTCGACACGAAAATTTTGACGTCGGTGGTCAAAAATTTTCTTAAAATAAATTAACCCGTCAGGTGTTTTAGCCAAACTGCAACTGCGTTTTGAATTTTTTTGACTTTACTCCAAATTTTATGTTTATTTTTCCACTGTTTACTAATTAATTTATCGATAACCACTAAACAAAAAAGAGTAAATATTCCTGACAAAGACCACCCAACCAATTATTTACCGAAGCCCTAATTTCATGCTTAGCGTGTCAATGCACCGAATGTTTACATTCACGTGCTGATAACGCACATTTCGTATACATTATAATTTCAAGAGCGGAAACATTTGAAATTAATTTAATTAGCGTTTACAAAAGAAAGTAAATAATTGCACTGTTTGCAAGGCGTTGCTAAAGTGCTTTTTCGCTGTGCTGTGAACCAATTAGCGGAAAAGGGGAGAAAATTTAGCCACTTCTCGAATTAGAATACGCTATTTCACGCTAGATTAAAATAGGACTTTTTAATTCCTTCGCGGCAACGTGCAATCTCCTGATTTACACTCTATTTTTAGCTGTAAAAATTGCGATAAAAATACATCTGTTGGAACCGAACATCCATGCATTTCGCACGAAAAAAAAAAAGATAAGGTGAGAAGGGTGTCAGGATGAGTCAGGTTCTAGAACATCTGTGCAACAATGTGCAATCATGCACAATTATATACTTATTTAACAAATATAAACATTAAGCTGCTGATTAGTGTATTTTGAGTCTTTTTGTGTACAAATAGTGAAGCTTCACATGTTTTATGCACACTTTATTTCCACCTCCAAGTCACCCCTTTTCTACTGCGTGTTAATTACTTTTTAAAAATAGAAAACCATTCAGTAGTCACTCACTCAATCATTCCCTTTAAATTTGTTTCTAATAATATTATTCTTACTTACTTTGATTTTTTCGTATGTCGTATCCAATTCCAGCCGGTGTACGAAAGGATTTAAGAGTTCTTCAGCTAAACTGTCATGAGATATACCGGCAGCCAATTTGGCGTTCATTTTCACTAATGTTATCAATTTATTTTAATCGAACAGTCGTTTATACACTCTTTAAACTAAACCGCGCGCGATGCAGACAACAAATGACATCCCTTCCATGTTAAAACAGAACCAATCGAATGTGAAACTGACCCACCGAATGAAGAACGAAGACCGACGAAGAAGCCGATCAATATTTTCACTTTTGCGTGCTTCACGAAAAATAGTGGCGCCATCTAAGTGAGAATCCCGTAAATATAAAACGAAGAAAAGTGTTAAATTACAAAAACAAAGTATACACTCGTCACCAATTGACTGCAAAAGCATCACTAAAAAAGAGTTCAAGTAGGAAACAAAAAATATTTTTTTTTAGTTTCACAGTGGCTACACATTTCAAATTTGCCGCCTTGGTAGTCACCGCCTGCTGCGATAGCGTGGTTGCAGAGCTAGCAACAAAATGCAATTTACGACAGGTTTTGGAAATAAAAAAATGTGCGGGCCATAGTTTTGTGCATTTGATGATTTTTTTTCTGGTGTGATGGATGTAGAAGGTCAAGTTCAGAAGCATTTGGTCACTTTTTGCAAAGCGTTGCCGGTGCACGTGAGTTGTTGGCGGTCGGTAATACAGGACGCTGCAAAGCCGCTGCAAACTTTGGCGAATTTGTGTGAACAGCGACGTCACGTAACAGCGTAGGCGCCAAATTTAAACACTGTTCACAATTCTATTAATTTTGTGCATTCTAGGGCCAACTTGAAAACTTTTGACGAGTTTGAAGACGCGCAGAGTCAGCTGCTGTATCAAATATCGTGCTTGATCGAAGAGGAATTCCTGGTTTTAAAGGAGTTGATGTACGTTTCCGCTTTTTTTTTCTTTTATATGTATTTTTTTATTTTCAGAAATAAGTTGAGTAAGAGTTGCAATGATTTAAAAAACAAGCTTTTGACTTTCGAGCGGTCGACTTTAACTCTGGATTGGGAAGAAAATAGCGAGTTAATAAGGGGAAGTGGATTTCAGCCTCCATTATCTAGATTACTGCAGGATGGTTTAGAATTCTCAAATTTTTTGGGAAGAAGTGCTAAAAATATAAGCGACCGTTTCAAATCGCTTAATTTGGACGATGAAAAAGCCATTAGGGAGCTTCAAGCATCATTTGATGTTAATCTTGACGATGGGATTGTGGGTGCGTTGATTGCGCTTACGCAGTATGTCGATAATGTTAAAGCTATTTTGTAGACATTTTTTTAGTGTAATAAACATTTATATACATGGTTATGGTTATTTGTTTTAAATACAACGTTGTTGTGTAAAATCTAATTGTTATGTATTTTTTACGTAAATGATGGTGTGGTTATGCAACATATAAAACACTTGTGTAAAGCACTAAAACAACGCATTTTCTGTTAAATCCATGACAACGAGCGTTCAAATAAAAACGACGTCAAGCTGACTTTGTAAATATGAATCTAAATGAATAATTCATTCACATTTCCAAAGCGAACTTGACGTTGTTTTTATTTGAACGGTCGTTACTTGCATACAAACTACTTTCGGTAATAACATAACCATTAGCATTCTAAGAAATAATAGCTTTTTCATGTTAATGCGTTATTCAAAATATAAACACTTTTTAAATTTTAAGCTTTTCCTTCCTACTGAACAAAGTAATTTGTTAAGAAGTATTCTTTTTAAAAAACACATTCACAAGACACAGTTATGAAGCATATTAATTAATAGTGAAAGTACCTAATACATATACCTATATTCTACAAATTGTCTACAAATGAGTGTCAGATTAAAAACAATCTTTACTGTTCCCGCTTTGTTGAAATAGAACTCATAAGCACACAGTTAAATGGACATTAAGCTATTTCCAGTTAAATAGTTAATGTTATTTTAAACGTGAGCGGCAAATCGCGGCAGCTTGAATTTCCAATGGTAAATCGATGTGAAAAGAGTCTGTTTCAATTTCCGTTATTTGTAAACTATTAAAATGTAATTAATTAAAATGTCGATTTCCAATGATTTGTTAACAAATACTCCTATTTATTATTCAAGAGTAGAGTTAAGTAGAATTCTACTTTCAAATCACTTTTGTTAGTCAAAAAATAACAGACATAATAAATTTGATAAAATTCGGTCTGGTAATTTTGAAAATCATCTGTCTAATAAAAATCAACATAGGCGACAGACGATAGACAGATGGACCCTATGATAATACTCCCTTAGCTTACATTCGGGAAGTAAAAAGTAAAAAAGGTGAAGATTTTCCGGTGGATCCCTGCCTTTGAAAAAATAACTTGATGGTTTGTGTCTGCAATTTTTTTTTGTTAATCTGTTTCCCATTAATATTCAACAGATAATGACTACACTAAATAATCGCTCTGTATATACTATCTGACATAGTAAATAACAAAATTCATTAATTTTTGAGAGGTAAGATATTTATTTAATAAAAGTGAAATGGATTTCGTTTCCCGTTAATTATATATATATATATATATATTGCCTGTATTCGTTGCTATGGTGATACTGACGTCACTGAAACATTTTTTAATAAGAATCATAACAATAATAAATATCTTAAATTTCTTGACAAACTGTCATAGTAGGTTATTTCATTTATATATGGTTGACAACATATAATTTATAAAAGAATCAATGCTAGGTATGAACTAATAATGTTGACAAGTTTTAAGTTATCATAATATGGATCTTATAATATATTCGCAGATATCGTTAAAAAATATGATAAATGATAATGGTCTAAGATTGGTACCCTGAACTACATTACTACTGTTACCTATACACCTACAGTAGCAATTGATAACAGTTAAGCTTTACGAACCGTCGAAAACCTTTTCAAATTTGACACGGTCCAAACCCGGAAAACGTCTTTCTATTATTGAATTTGTGTTTGAATTTCATACTCTCACAAGTTAATTTTTTTCGTCGTTAGTCAGGATTCTGTTATCCAAAGGTAAGTTATTTAAATTGAACTATGTTAGTAGCAGTCGACATATATTTAATAAAAACCGTATTGATTTTTGGAAAAACATTAATTATTACTTGTGGATTAAATTCAAGCTAGTCAATTTTTAGTTCTAATTACGTTATTTTTAAGTTTCTTCACTTGTTCATGACGGTATCCAATTTTGAGCTATGATGTGAGACTCATTATTTTTTTTTAATAAAATGGTACATCTTTGGTTATAGTTTTAGACTCTTAGGACCCTTTTAAAAAATTCTACATGATATCTATGAGTAAATTTTTAATAGTTTTTGAAATACGCATTGCATTTTTAATTTTTAAAATTAACTAAAAATATTGTTGGTATATAAACCTCATACAAACGTGCATACATTTCTTAAATAAAAACAAAATTGAATATTCGTTATATTTTAGTTTTATCCAGAAATAATCAACAACTTTCGCCGTGTTTTTAATTTTTTTTGAAATTGTGTAAACCATTTGACTGGAGCGTAAAAGCGTAATAATCTCAAGGACGCTTGAAAGTGGGACTACCAAATGTGGCTCCGTTGAAAAGATCTAAACTCTTCAAAAAAAAAAAAAACACTTGGAGTTCCAGATATTCTTTTAAATTATTTGTCTCTTGAGATTGTTTTAAAATATTTAACAAAAAACTAGGGTTCCTTGTGATTCCTGTAAATCCTTAAAAACCACTAAGTGAAATTCGTTTTTTCTTTCAACTCTTTAAAGAAATAGTTAAGGCCCCCACGAATCTTTTAAATTCTTCATAGAGAAAAACGCTAGGATTTCCCCAGATTATTTTAAATTCATTAACAAAAAATTAGGATTCTTGTAAATTCTTTAAAAAAATCAGTTGGAGTCCCCGACGTTCTTCTAAATTCTTCAAAAAGGAAGACACTAGAGTCCCCTTAGATAATTTTCAAGTTCTTAAAAAATACACATACCAAAGACCCCCAAGATTCTTTTAAATTCTTTAACAAAAAAATTGGATTTTTTAAAAAACACTAAGGGTCATCGAGATTCCTTTCTTCTTTCAATTTAAAAAAAAAAAAAAATGTGGGGATCCTTGAGATTATTTTAAATTCTCAAAAAAAGAAAATACTGGGAGCTTCCGAGGTTCTTTTTTAAAAAGCACCGAAATTATTTCCTTGTTTCAGTTCTTTAAATAAAGGGGGGGCTCTGAAATTGATTTAATTTGTAAAAAAAAAAAAAATATGTGGAGCACCCAAGATTCTTCTTAAATTCTTCAGACGCCAGAGTCCCCCGAGATTATTTAAATTTCGTAAAAAAAAACACGAGGAACCCTCAAGATTCTTTTAAATTTTTCATTAAGAAAGATTGGAGTTTCCCGAGATTCTTGTAATTTTTTACAAAAACACTAGAGATTATCAAGGTTATTTTCTTCTTTCAATACTTTAAAAAAATAGTAGGGGCCCCTGAAATTATTTTAAATGGTTTAAAAAAATATATATTAAGAGAACCCAAGATTGTTTTAAATTCGTCAAATAGAAAGACATCAGAGTCCTCCGAGATTATTTAACCTTCTTAAAAAATCACAATGGACCCCCGAGATTCTTTTAAACTCTTTACAAAAAATTAAGGTTCTCCGTGATTCTTGTAAATTCTTAAAAACACACACTAGGGATCATCGAGATTCTTTTCTACTTTGAATTCTTTAAACAACTAGGCGGCGGCCCCTGAAATTCTTTTAACTTCTTCCATGAAAGACACTAGGAGCTCCCAAAAGTTTTTAAATTTTTCATAAAGAAAGATATTGGAGTTCTCCGAGATTCTTGTAAATTTTTAGAAAACCCGCTAGGATCCCCAGATTCTTTTAAATTTTATCACAAAAATCTAAGGTTCTCCGTGATTATTGTAAATTCTTAAAAAAACATACTACGAGTCATCGAGATCTTTTCTACTTTCAGTTGTTTAAATAACAAGGCGGGGACCACTGAAATTCCTTTAACTTCTTCCATAAAAAAACGCTAAGAGCCTCCAAGATTCTTTTAAATTTTTCATAAAGAAAGACATTTGAGTTCCCCGAGATTCTTGTAAATTTTTAGAAAAACCCTAGGAGTCATCAAGATACTTTTCTTCTTTGAATTCTTTAAAAAAATAGTGGGGACCACTGAAATTATTTTAAATTATTAAAAAAAAATATTAGGAGAACCCAAGATTGTTTTAATTTCGTTAAATAGAAACACATCAGAGTCCCCCGAGATTTTTTAAATCTCTTAAAAAATCACAAGGGACCACCGAGATTCTTTTAAACTCTTTAAAAAAAAAACTAAGGTTCTCCGTGATTCTTGTAATTTTTTAAAAAAGACACATTAGGGGTCATTGAAATTCTTTTCTACTTTCAATTCTTTAAACAACTAGGCGGCGGCCCCTGAAATTCTTTTAACTTCTTCCATGAAAGACACTAAGAGCTCCCAAGAGTTTTAAAATTTTTCATAAAGAAATATTTTTGAGTTCCCCGAGATTCTTGTAAATTTTTAGAAAAACCCTAGGGGTCATCAAGATCCTTTTCTTCTTTCAATTCTTTAAAAAAATCGTGAGGACCCCTGAAATTATTTTAAATTGTTAAAAAAAATATCAGGAGAATCCAAGATTGTTTTAAATTCGTCAAATAGAATGACATCAGAGTCCCCCGAGATTATTTAAACTTCTTAAAAAATTACGAGGGACCCCCGAGATTCTTTTAAATTCTTTAATAAAAAACTAAGGTTCTCGGTGAATTTTGTAAATTCTTAAAAAACACACACTAGGGGTCATCGAGATTCTTTTCTACTTTCAATTCTTTAAACAACTAGGCGGCGGCCCCCGAAATTCTTTTAACTTCTTCCATAAAAAACACTAGTAGCTGCCAAGATTTTTTAAATTTTTCATAAAGAAAGACATTGGAGTTCTCCGAGATTTTTGTAAATTTTTGGAAAACCCACTAGGATCCTTAGATTCTTTTAAATTTTATCACAAAAATCTAAGGTTCTCCGTGATTATTGTAAATTCTTAAAAAAACACACTAGGAGTCATCGAGATCTTTTCTACTTTCAGTTCTTTAAATAACTAGGCAGGGACCACTGAAATTCCTTTAACTTCTTCCATAAAAAAACACTAAGAGCCTCCAAGATTCTTTTAAATTTTTCATAAAGAAAGACATTTGAGTTCCCCGAGATTCTTGTAAATTTTTAGAAAAACCCTAGGGGTCATCAAGATACTTTTCTTCTTTGAATTCTTTAAAAAAATAGTGGGGACCACTGAAATTATTTTAAATTATTAAAAAAAAAAAAAATTAGGAGAACCCAAGATTGTTTTAAATTCGTCAAATAGAAAGACATCAGAGTCCCCCGAGATTTTTTAAATCTCTTAAAAAAATCACAACGGACCACCGAGATTCTTTTAAACTCTTTAAAAAAAACTAAGGTTCTCCGTGATTCTTGTAAACTATTAAAAAAGACACATTAGGGGTCATTGAAATTCTTTTCTACTTTCAATTCTTTAAACAACTAGGCGGCGGCCCCTGAAATTCTTTTAACTTCTTTCATGAAAGACACTAGGAGCTCCCAAGTGTTTTTAAATTTTTCATAAAGAAAGATATTGGAGTTCTCCGAGATTCTTGTAAATTTTTAGAAAACCAGCTAGGATCCCCAGATTCTTTTAAATTTTTTCACAAAAATCTAAGGTTCTCCGTGATTATTGTAAATTCTTAAAAAAAAAACACTAGGAGTCATGGAGATCTTTTCTACTTTCAGTTCTTTAAATAAGTAGGCGGGGGCCACCACTGAAATTCTTTTAACTTCTTCCGTAAAAAACACCAGGAGTCTCCAAGATTCTTTTAAATTGTTCATAAAGAAAGATATTTGACTTCCGCGAGATTCTTGTAAATTTTTAGAAAAACCCTAGGGGTCATCAAGATAGTTTTCTTTTTTCAATTCTTTAAAAAAATAGTGGGGACCCCTGAAATTATTTTAAATTGTTAAAAAAATATTTTAGGGGAACCCAAAAAATTTTAAAATTCGTCAAATAGAAAAACATCAGAGTCCCCGAGATTCTTTTAAACTCTTAAAAAAAAAAAAACTAAGGTTCTCCGTGATTCTTGTAAATTCTTAAAAAAGACACATTAGGGGTCATTGAAATTCTTTTCTACTTTCAGTTCTTTAAACAACTAGGCGGCGGCCCCTGAAATTCTTTTAACTTCTTCCATAAAAAACACTAGGAGCTCCTAAGATTCTTTTAAATTTTTCATAAAGAAAGACATTGGAGTTCCCCGAGATTCTTGTAAATTTTCAGAAAACCCACTAGGATCCCCAGATTCTTTTAAATTTTTTCACAAAAAACTAAGGTTCTTCGTGATTATTGTAACTTCTTAAAGCAAAACACACTCGGAGTCATCGAGATCTTTTCTACATTCAGTTCTTTAAACAACTAGTGATGGGCCACTAAAGTTCTTTTAAATTCTTTGAAAAAAAAAAACATTAGGATCCACTAAGCTTCTTATAAATTTATTTAACAAAAAACTAGAGTTTCCCGCGATCGTTGTAAATTCTTTAAAAAAACACTAGAGATCAAGATTCTTTTCTTCTTCTTACTCTTTAAAAAAATAGTGCGGGCCTGAAATTATTTTAAATTATTCAAAAAAAAAAAGACACTAAAAGCGCCTAAAATTGTTTTAAATTCTTAAAAGCGAAAGACACGAGAGTTCCCCGAAATTATTTAAAGTTCTAAAAAAAGCACAAGGGAATCAAAATCGGCGTGGGGAAAACTCAACAATTTATTTCTTAATAACTCGGATCTACACGACTAATTGCAGAGCGATTATGTACCAACTAATTCCAGCGCAACTTGGCTGCCTGTTCTTAACATTCGCTGGACTCGTGGTTCGACTGAATAATCTCGTTCCCGAAGATGGCGGGAACGACGTAGTTGGACATAGAGATTGACCTGTTTCAACATTTTCGACAAATACTCCACCATTAATTTTAAAATTAATGAATTTATTCTATAAGTAGTTTACACAGTGTATAATACTCGACACACAACTTATTTCACAAAATTAGATAATATGGAAATAGGTCTATGGTTATAAACTTATCTTTCATGAATTTTTCCACACTCTTAAAATTATCACGGTGAGCAAATGTAAAAGTGGAAAAGAAGGCAGATTCGGTATGCAGAGATGGGCAGCACTCTTTATAACAAAAGTTTCTAGCACTGTCATCGTTATCACAAAATTGATCCCAACAATAACTTTTAAGAATATCAAGAGCTCGAAAGTGGTCGTCCTAAAGCATTTACAATGCCTTGAAGAGGGTTTGCTCGAGGGTTATGATTAAAAATCGTATTTCCGGGAATTAACAAAAGACCAAGAGTTTTCAGGATGATGTTAAACAGACTGCTCATCATTCACTAAAACGTAGATCGTTTGTCTGAGCTCCCTATATTTGTCCGACTGATATATTGAACCACTTTTTATGTACTTGTAGCTTTTGTTTGATTATATCAGTTGTGGATTCAGTGAACTAAAAGGGATAATTATTCTGTTTGTGATTACCAGTTAGTAATGGAATATAATGTAAGAAGATATCATTGGCAGTGACAATATACTGCTAATAAATCACCGTACAAAAATTAAACCTAAGTGTTTTGGAATTAACAAAAAACATGGAATGGCTTCAACAACTAAAAAATTTAATGTTACTTTACAAATCTTAATCTTAAGTAATTAAAATATCTTTAAATATTTTTTAAATTTTAGAAAATAACGTTCATTTCTTATGATTATTCCATATTCAAATAAACCGATCTGCTGGTCTTAGAGGTATTAAGTAAATTTTTCGCTGTATTTTCCAACAGTCTGTTTTATATTAGGACGATTTCATTTACGAAAATACGGCGGTATATACGTTTTAAAACATATTGCACTCGTTTTTTTCCATTTTTTAATTCTGCCAATTTTTTACCATAAACAGAATATTAAAAGAGCCAAAATTGCATTCACCGGACTTTATTTAAATCAAAAGCTTTCCCCAAAGCTCTCCAAACATTCCCCAGAAATATGTTTGCATTTTTAATCAAACGTAGTGCTTGCCCTAAATCTGCGCCCAACATTTCAAACAAATATAATTTTTAGCGTAGGTCGTAGGTATATTTCCTAACCAAATTTACTGCCTTCCGCATCGCTTATGTTTCTCTCGTCCACACATCCCCTTCGCCGAAGTCTACTATGTTTCTTTATTTTTATAGATTCGCGTAAACCCTGCAATATCCACCCTCGGTGAATGGAAATGCGCGACAAAGACCAGGAACAATAAAAACACAAAATATTCCTTTTGCGTCCGTGCGAAGAGCGTCGTGGCGCCGGCGCCAGTATTGATTCTCTCTAAGTCATGAGTTTGTGTGTGTGACGCTTGCCGACAGGAGGTTGATGCCGTCCTCACCATCCACAGGTACGTAATATTTAAAGAAAAAATACCATGTTGAATTTACTCCGGATGGGGCGAAAGCTTCTCGTGCTTTCAAACTGAATACGAAAACACTGGACGAACAATTCTGGGGGAGCGTTTTCAAAATTGAATTAGGCTCTACATGTAATTATTAATGTTTCATGAAGGTCTAAACTAATTTTCGCCATCAGAGCGCTGGAGGTGGAGTTGCGTTTAACCGTATGGAAACTGTCGGAAAAGCGCTTTTTTATTAGAGTAGTTAGCAGAAGTTGTTTGCGTTTTTTCGATGTATACTTTATTGATTTTAATTTAAAATATTGCTGCGTTGAGTGGCTTCTTAGTTTGATCTGTTCGGAATTACTGATTAATAGTTTCGTTCCACGGTGAAAAATGTGTGCGCCAATTACTTAATTGTGGAGCTTTTTTAATTAAATTGTTGCCACGGTCGTCATCTATCACTGTGTTGTTCGTAACGTCTTACCATTGATTACACCGGTAAAAGAAAGACGTCAACTAGTCGCTTGCAAGACATTATACTCAAATATTTGGACAGGGTAATTAGTTAAAATTTTTTTTGAGTAATATTTCTCACTTTTTCGTGTCACCTAGAAAATAATCTTCAACGGTTCTGTCGATTTAATACGGAAGTTTCGCTCCTGATTTTTTTTATCCGGCAGTTCAGCTTTACGTTCCTAAAGGTTGAGTTTTCTTTTAGTGCAATTTTCCAGTTTATTTGTGTGGCGTTTATCTCTTTGTCGTAAACCCTCAAGGAAGAGTCGAGAGTCTCTTCTTACACCCACACCATTAAAGTCTCTTGCACATTAGTGTGAGCTTGATATACAAGCTTATTATTTGATAAATGAATGCAAAGTGTGCTTCATAATTAAAGGCTGAGATAATTCTGTTTTTATAGAAACGCTGCTACTATCCGTATTTCAGATTAAAATGGAAAGCACGGTTTTGTAAATATTTGCCGAAATTATTTTAAATTAGTATGTTTAAAACCTTTAACCGGGCAATGTGTCTTATGACGTAAGCGTTGCACATGTATGTAGCAGTACATTAATACTAGTTCCGGAAGAAAAAAGTTCGTTAAAACTCATGAATAAACCTTGTAATGGTATTATTATTTGTCTTTTCCAAAGTTTTTGTGCTAATCAAATATAAATTCATTGCAAATTTGCGACATAAGGTCCACATGAATCAGTTGTTTCATCGACATGAAAATAAATTAGATTGTCGTCTATACTTTGACGAATAGCCTGCTGTTTTTTGAAACGTTTTGTCCACGAAATTTTTTCTTAAGGTACTCTCATCGGGAATTTACTTCATGGTATGTATTTTAAGAAATGATGGTAGCTTGTGGTTATTCAGTTTTGATAAAGTAATATCGGCCCTGAGGAATATTTCACACAATTCGTAACAATATTCTTGTTGATCTGTCATCTTCTGGGTGTTGACTTATGCATTGTTAAACATAGTTCTCGACGTTGAAATCAACAAGATTTATTGATATTCGTCTCAAAAACAGATTAGGTATTATAACTACAAGGGCTTACATTTTGGCCATTTTTCTTAATATGTGTAGTCTTCTTTTCACAACAAGAAAGGTAAAACATGTTTAAAATGGTAAATTTTTGTTGGAAAGTATCGATTTTGCAATTAGGCTCCGCCCCTCGGTTTGACAACAAATGAAAAATTCATCACGACTGAGATCGAAACGGATGGATGAAGTTTCTCTTTTGGTTTTCTTTTTTAATTAGTAGATTTAGTTTTCTTTGTATAACACGATCACTTAAGTACATATTTCACTTAGTAATTTCTCGTAGAAAAATAAAGATTTTGCAATTAAGCTCCGCTCTTCGGCTTGTCTTTTTCTTTTAATATACATAGCCATCTTTTCACAACAAGAAACTTAAAACATGGTTAACTGGTACATTTTTGCAAGGAAATATGGATTTTGCAATTGTGGGGTGAAAGCTAACTGCAAAATCGATATTTCCTTATACAAATTTTCGATTTTAAACATGTTTTAAGTTTCATGTTGTGAAAACAAATCTACACATATCAAAACAAACAGGTAAAATGTAAGCCCTCCCAACCGCCCGATCTCAATTGTGATTATTTTTTTTTATTCGCCGTGGACCAAGGGGGCGGAGCTTAACTGCATATTCTTTACTTCCTTACAAGAAATTAAAAACATCTTTTTGAGTATCGTGTTGTTCAAAGAACACCATGTATATTCAGAAAAAAATGCGAAATATGAACCCCGCCCACCCACCCGATCTAATTGTAATAATTTTTTTATTCTTAGAAACTCATTACAATTGAGATAGGGCGGATGGGAGGATTTTACCTTTTTTCTTAATATACGCAGTCGTCTTTTAGGACAAGAAAATGAAATTATGTTTAAAATGGTAAATTCTTGTAGATAAATATGGATCTTGCAATTATGCCCCGCCCCTCGGTCTGACAACGAATGAGAAATTCATCACAATTGAGCTTGGGATGGGTATTGGTAGGGCCTAATTTTTGGCTTGGTTTTTTCTTAATATACATAGTACTTTGCGAACAAAACGATACTGAAAAACAAGTTTTTTATTTCTTGCAGGGAAATAAGTATTTTGCAGTTAAGCTCAACCCTCTTCGCTCACGACGAATGAAAAAATCATCACATTTGAGATAGGGCGGGTGGGCGAGTCTAACATTTTGGCTTTTTTTCTTAATATATGTAGTCATCTTCTCACAACAAGAGACTGAAAACATATTTAAAATGGTAAGTTTTTTCCCCCATCCTTCTCTACAAATTTACCATTTTAAACATCTTTTCAATTTCTTGTCGTGAATAGAAAACTACGTACACATATTAAGAAAAAAAGGAAAAATACAAACCCCTCCTACCCGCCCTTACCTCAATTGTGACGATTTTTTTTATTCGTCGTGAGTCGATGGGCGGAGCTTAATTGCAAAACCTTATTTCTCTACAAGGAACGACCATGTGAAACATGTTTTTTAAGTATCGTGTTGTTGAAAGAAAATTATATGTGTTAAGAAAAAAACCTAAAAATATTCATTCGTTGTTTGACTCACGACGAATAAAAAATTGTCACAACTGAGATAGGGTGGGCGGGCGGGGCTTATATCTTACTTTTTCCTTATTAGGCGTTATCTTCCTTTCACAAGATACTTAAAGCATGTTTCAAATTGTAAATTATTGCAGGAAAGTATGGATTTTGCAATAACGCTCCGCCTCTTGGTCTGACAACGAATGAAAAATTCATCACGATTGAGACAGAGACGGGTGGGTGGAGCTTGTCGTTTGGTTTTCTTTTTTTAATTAATACATTTAGTTTTCTTTGTATAACACGATTACTTAGGAAGATATATATGTCATATGATAATTTCTCGTAGAAAAATAAGGATTTTACAATTAAGCTCCGCTTCTTGGCCTTCGACGAGTAAAAAAAATCATCAGAATTAAGATAGGGTAGGTGGGCGCGGCTTATATATTGCCTTTTTTTTCTTAATATACATAGCCATCTTTTCACAACAAGACTTAGAACATGGTTAAAATGGTACGGAGGCTAATTGCAAAATTGATATTTCCTTATACAAATTTTCCATTTTAAACATGTTTTAAGTTTCATGTTGTGAAAAGAAGTCTACACATACTAAAACAAAAAGGCAAAATATAAGCCCCGCCCACCCGCCCTATCGCAATTGTGACGATTTTTACTTCCCGAGCGTAAGCAAAGGAAGTATTGTAATCGAGTCCGTCGGCCGACTCTCTACTTTTATGTTTTCTCTATCTTTCATGACCCCTAGAAGACGAAGAAATAGGTCTCCCATTTCCGTCTATCTGTCCGTCCGTCTGTCCGTCTGTCCGTCTGTTGTCCCGGATTTTTATTAGACAGATAATCTCCGAAAGTACTCGACCGATTGTTGTGAAATTTTGTACTTATATTAAGAATATCATGTAGATGGTAAAACGCTAACCAAAATTTGTCTAATCATCCCCATCACTAATGCGATGACGTCACTTCAAAATTGTACATAGTAAATGGGTTTTCAATTGTATAAAATAACATAGTCCTACACATGTAGTTTACAACTCTGAATCGACTTTTCACCCGAAACTTCCAGATTTTTGGAAAAAAAATCAAAATTATAAAACAACATTTTGAAATTTAATTTTTAATCTGCTAACCAGAATGCTTTGAAATGTTGCAGATGTTTTAAGACTATAAAAAGCATCATAAATCTTTAGTCAAAAAATATTTGCTTATCCCCTCCAAAAACTTGATGACGTCAGCTCAAAAGTTTGTGGAATAAATCATATCTAAAATGTACAAAATATGATGAGTCTGTACTTGTGATCTATCACTCCATTCATATTTTTTGGATTTGCATATACAGGGTGACTCAAAAAAATTAATGAATGCGTAAATATATTTTATTGATTTAATCAGGAACTACAAAACCGAATGCTCTGAAATCTTGCAGATGTTTTAAGGTCATAAAGAGCATAATAAATGTTTAGTCAAAATATATTTGCTTATCCCCTCCAAAAACTTGATGACGTCAGCTCGAAAGTTTGCCGAATAAATCATATCTAAAATGTACAAAATATGCTGAGCCTGTACTTGTCATTTATCACTCCATTCATATTTTTTGGATTTGCATATACAGAGTGACTCATAAAAATTAATGAATGCGTAAATTATTTTATTGATTTAATCAGGAACTACAAAACGGAATGCTCTGACATCTTGCAGATGTTTTAAGGTTATAAAGAGCATAATAAATGTTTAGTCAAAATATATTTGCTTATTCCCTCCAATATCTTGATGACGTCAGCTCGAAAATTTGCCGAATAAATCATATCTAAAATGTACAAAATATGATCAGTCTGTACTTGTGATCTATCACTCCATTCATATTTTTGGATTTGCATATGCAGGGTGACTCAAAAAAATTAATGAAGGCGTGAATTTATTTTATCG